CTGCTGAGCTGCCTCTCTCCCTGCTGGGCCCTTCTCCAGCATCATTTGAGAGCCTTCCCTCCACCTCTAGCTCAGAGGTCAGTTCCCTGACACCACCCTATACCTGTAGGTCTCAGGGTGGTTACAACATAAAATCACAATATAGCAACACAAAATAGATAATAAAAACAAAAACAAAGACAACCCACTAAGCCCTGACTTACTCGTTTGGCCCTGGTTTCTGGCTAGTTCCCACCTCCTGGCTCACAGATTTGTCCCCATGGCAAAATAAACCAGGAAGGTAGGGTTTCCATGTGGGGTGAAACGAATATCAGGAGGGGGTGGGAATTGCAATCGTCCCAAAATTTTTTTGCAGCAGTTTTAAAATGGAGAAATGAAAGTCCTCTTCAGAATCTTAGAAATCAAGATAGATTCTCAAGCACTGTTGACTGCTAGCTTCTGATACCCTATTGTCTGTCCTAGGCATGTATAGGTTAGATTGCTACAATGTCTTATATATGGGGCTGCTTTTAAAGATGGTTCAGCAGCTAGATTGCTTACAGGGACCAGAAGGTTCAAGCATAGGACACGGGTTCTGGCCCACACACATTGGCTACTGAGTCTTTTATATGTTTTATGTGTCTAATATGTCTTATGGTCTAAAGTATGCCAGTGAAGGATGAATGAATGAATGAATGAATGAATGGACGTTGGCTATTGGTTTCTCGGGCAAATTATAGTGCTGATTTTTTATTATTATTTCACCTGGGACCCAAATACCCCAAGGATAGCCTCTCCTCAGATAAACCTATGCAGCCCCTACCACCATCATCAAAAGCCCTTCTACATGGGATTTCTTTAAGGGGAGATGCAGAGGGAGGCAAGTAGAGAATGGAGCTCTTCAATGACGGTTTCCCAATTTTGGAATACTTTCCCTAGGGAAACTCGCCTGGCACCAACATTGTTGCCTTTTAGGCAAAGTCATTATTGTTTGCTCGGGCTTTTGGCTCTTAATTGAGTTTGTAGAATGGTAAAAAATTGTGGTTTGTTTTAGTGTGAGCTAGGATCTGCACTTTTTATTTTTGTTGCAGGATTCAAACATTTAATATCTCCATGGTTTTCCGTTATGTGGATTCTATGGCACTTTGGATTTAAATGTTTGATGCATTGTTCTTCATTTTAAAATATTCTGTAAAGTTGCTGTGAGGCATTTTGTAAAAAGAAAGAAAGAAAGAAAAAGCAATGAACATACATAATAAAATAACATTCGTAGAAATAATTGCTCCAAAGTGGCCTGAGGACTGCATCCAAGCAAAAAAGAAGCAGCTTACTTTGTCTGATGTATTTATCTTCCAGCGTTGAGATCCATACAATGCTGTCAGGCAACTGAGCTGGCTAAATAACTATGCTATCAGTGTCCTATCAAAAGTGAAGGATAATAGGTTGCCACAACAAAAGCCTTATGTATTCTCAGCAATCAGATCATGTAAAGGGAAAAGTCAAGATAGACAAACACAATGTTCTGTCACTTAAAAAAAGCCACCCAAAATGATTTCAGGAAACAAACCTAAACACAGCCACTTTGAAAGAAACAGCAACATATAAATGAAACATAGCTGTGTGAAAATCTAACATACAAGTGATTGTTTAGTCTTCCCACTCTCTCTTCTTTGGTTGATACCTAGGCTGGTTAGAGTTGGACTGTCACTCCACTGCTGGGAACACCGTAAACATGCTCTGCACATTTCATTGGGGCATGCCCCAGGGACTTTTATTTACTTGGGTTGGGGATGAGATTGGGGTGGGTCCAAAGGGATCTGGCCCATACTGAGTACCCAATGTGTGTCCTGTTGCCAGCCTGTTTGCTTTCACTGGTGGGCTTTTAATAGGCTACATACTGTCAGGCGTCAGGGAATTCGACCCTCACATGGTAGGCTTCCAGGAATAGATAGACAAGAAGAGTTCTTACCAAAGCCTTTTATTCAATATTCACAGAGAGAGGCTTAGAAATGTAGCCTCTTTTTTTAAAATGAAAATTTTTATTGATTTTCCAAAGTTTATAAACAAACAAACAAACATAAATCCTAACTTTAATTATTCCACTCTTAATAACATTGTTATGTGACTTCCTCAACTCCCCCTGGCTGAGTTTCAATATACATCTTTATAACGGTTTTCCAAAACAAATTTTTCATAAAATTTACTTAATCAATTAACATCTTTCTTTCTTTTCATTTTAAAAGAAATGTAGCCTCTTGGAGTAATGGCGTTTCTCCGAGTAATCTCCATCCTGTCTTCTCTCCTCAATTGTCAACAGTGTCACCCATCTTATGGTGGCAGCATAGGGTCATTTGCCTCTGAGCCATTTGCTCTCCTACTTTTAAGGCTCGCTAGGTTCTGGGAGATGGTGGGTCTGGAATGCTTTCTAGTGATAACGCATCAGTCAGCTGCTCCAGCTCTGCTTCCCCCTCCTTTTCTTCCATTATTTCCCAACTTTGCCCCTCATCTATCTCTAAGCCGTGACCTTCCTCAAACCACTGTTGTAAATCTATACTGTCTTCCTCTCCTCTGGAAGGTTCGGGGGGGAGAGGCGGTCTCCACCATTCCTTCTGTGTCCAGTCCCTGACACATACACACAATCGTTTACAGCACATTCCTTCCTCTGAACAATCCTGGGAACTGCAGTTTGTTAAGGGTGAAAGGCGAAAGATTTATACGATCTGAGGAGAAGCCAGAGTATAATGGTGGTCTGAAGGGTGGTCTGAATTGTATCTCGGGGTAAACTACAGTTCCCAAGATTCTTTCAGCAGGGGAGTCAAATTCTTTAAATGTATGGTGTCAACGCAGACAAAGATGAAGGAATCTTGATATTTCTGGCATCCCTGCTTCTAGAAATTAAATACAACTAGTGAACTATCTCCATCTCCACATTTATTTTTTTTTGCTTTGTGTGTGACTATACAGGCAAACATATGGGGGTAAGCATAACGACGATCATTGGGATTAATAAACAGTGCAAGTTATACGATGCCTTGCAATAGGGTTATTTCTCACTGCAATTCCCCATCTTGTCTTTTACATATAGAATTGAGAGATAAAAATCAAAATTCAATAGGCTTACAGTAAAGAAGATATATTGAACGCTCATTCTGTTACTATTCATATGGTTTCCCATATGCTTTCTTTTCCAAGTTTAATCTTCTTTACATTATTGGACTTTCAATCATCTGTGACTCTGGACCTGAATGTGGTGTGTGTGTGTGTGTGTGTGTGTGTGTGTGTGTGTGTGTGTACGTACCCATTTTTCTTAAGTTTATGTTCTTTTCAACTCTTCCCCCAATAAGTTTTGCTGCCGCAAGTCAATTTGGAAGAAAAGAAAGTGCCCCATTTCCATAAACATAAGAGTAATTAGGAATAATTCTGTGTCATCTGGATTCTTTGATAGTATATTTGGACTTCCAAGTATTGTAAAAATGCTTGTTTTAAACATGTTGTGCACCTCATTAAAATAATTAGATAGTTGCTATATCATGGAAAGAAATGCAGCAAGCACTGCTAAATTTCCACTTGGCTGTTCTAAAGATTTTGGTTTCTAATGTAGCAGTCTCTTCCTGAATTTCAGAGGTAGGCGCTTATAACTTACGTAGCCAAAACAGCAACATCCACTCTCAACAGCACCACCCATTGTCAGCAGGCTAGCGAGAACCACAAAGTTTGCAGAAGTACAAGGGAATGTTTTGAGAACGAAACCCAAATGAGTGTGGAACCCCCAAAACAGCCCAGTAAGGACTGAGCAAGACCAGTTGCCATGACACTCCTCAAGGGGATGGGGCAACATCCTATGAGGAAAGGTGACCACATTTGGGGATGTTTAGTCTAGAAAAGAGTAAAACAAGACAGGGTGGTAAGGTAAAGGTAAAGGGACCCCTGACCATTAGGCCCAGTCGTGACCAACTCTGGGGTTGTGGTGCTCATACCTATTTATCTACTTGCACTTTGACGTGCTTTCAAACTGCTAGGTTGGCAGGAGCAGGGACCGAGCAATGGGAGCTCACCTCGTCACGGGGATTCGAACCGCCGACCTTCTGATCGGCAAGTCTTAGGCTCTGTGGTTTAACCCACAGCGCTGATAAAATTATGCACTCTGTGGAGAAAGTGGATAGATGAAAGCTGTTCTCAAGGAGATATGAATAGCTAAGGAGTTTGCGCATAGAAAAAGGAACAAGCTTGTTTTCTCATGTTCTGGAGGGTAGGACCTAAACCAATGGCTCCAAGTTATAAGAAAGGAGAATTCAACTAAACATCAGGAAGTACTCTCTGAGAGTAGGAGCTGTTTGACCGCGGAACAGTCTCCCTCAGTTTCCCTGGCAGTGGTGCAGTGAAGCAGGAATGGGGGAAAGTAAGACAAAACCACAACTCCATGATTTTTCTTTCCATTGCAGAACCAGTGACAACATCTGCGGGAGCACTAGAATAATCCCTGGACACTCCTTCCTCTAGAATTTAAATTAGGTGATAGCAAGGTGTTCAAGTTTCACCATTGCTTGTGATAGATTAAAATAGAGGAAGTCGGAGAATAAGGAAAATATAACAAAGCAGGGGCAGGATAATTATTTGGTCCGATGGGGTTCTGATTTCATGCTGGTAGTTTAAATGGCAACACTCCTTTGCAAGATTATTTGCATTTCTAATTAAAAGCTAAAGGTTAAGTTTCAGCGGCCTGTAGATCTTTTCTTAAAAGATCAATGTGTTTTGCATGTTGAACATATGCAGCCATAGGGAAGCATCGATGGAGTTTACTCCCAGGTAACTTATGCATAGGACTGCAGTCCAGCAACAACTACAATGCAACCCTTTACCAGATCGCTATTCTATAACCATCAGCTGATCCTAAGATGCTGCATACTATGCTATGTAAAGCTGTGTGATAAGTTACAGGTAGGTAGTTGTGTTGGTCTGCCATAGTTGAAACAAAACAAAATAAATAAAATAATAACAATAATAAAATTTCTTCCAGTAGCACCTTAGAGACCAACTAAGTTAGTTATTGGTATGAGCTTTCGTGTGCATGCACACTTGGTATCTGAAGAAGTGTGCATGCACACAAAAGCTCATACCAATAACTTACTTAGTTGGTCTCTAAGGTGCTACTGGAAGAAATTATTTTATTTTATTTTATTTTATTTTATTTTATTTTGTGTGATAACAGTCAGCCCAACTACCGGAATTTTTGGGCTCTTCCTGGGAGCATGACTACGGCGACTGTCATGATGGGCTCCTGTGCTTCAAAACTTACCACTGTATCATGTAGAGATTGTGATGAAAGCCACATAGCCAATCATATTGGAGAATATGATGACTTCCTGAAGCAAGTTCTTCCTACCCTCACCCTGAATGGGTGAACACTTCTATCTATTTCACAGCATTAGCAGCAGCTAAGGGAAACTTTCCCCCAAAGGGCCTCTGCTCTTGGCTCGGCTCGAAGCATACATAGCTCTACCAGCGACGTTTGATCCTTCCCATCTTCATCCTCCCCAAAGCCTCTTCTGCTTCCTTAAAGAGCTGCAACTTTTCTCTGGGTTGCCTTGTGCCTTGAACTCCCTCCCGGGATGCTTATGTTACTACCTAACAACCAACACACATCACAATAAGAAACCAGGCAAATACTTCTAAGATTAAGCATGCCTTGTCACTAAGGACCAAATTTTTGTGTGGGCATGCTGCTCTTTCTACACGTTCTCACCATTTGATGGGCATCTCATTGGTCTAGATGTAAGTACTAACATCACAAAGCATCGCAGTTACCTGGAAGAAGAGAACAGGAAGGGGGGAAATTGACAGACAGTATTCTCAAAGCTAGACATACACTTTTCTAGACATTCCAAGAATAGACGTACTTGCTTTACAGAGACAACAACAACAACCTGTGAATATGGTCAAGGCCTTTGATATGTTGCAGTGGACAATATTTACTATACAGGGGAGAAGGCTTCAACTTTTGAAATGATAAAAGCACTTTAGTGCTGGCACAGTGGATGAATGGCTGTCATTTGGACAGTCAGCAAGCGAGAGCTGCAGGACTCCAAAATATTAAATTGTCACCCAAAACAGCCATCAGAGAGACAGGGAAGGACATTTTCAGAGGGGTGTGTGAGCTAATGCATCTGCATGTAACAAGGGGAAGAGAGGGGGGGAGAGAGAGGGAGGGAGGGGGGAGGAGGGAAACCTCCAAATCACATACAAAGGGGAAATGACACATTTGCATAGGTCTGCATAATACCAGATTAGGTAGCAAGAACCCTTATGTTGGCTTCTGAGGTGGCACAATAAGCATTCGCAGGCTATTTCACCATCTAGTTGTCAGAAGCTAGGCAAATAGGTAAAGGGTAAAGGGACCCCTGACCATTAGGTCCATTTGTGGCCGACTCTGGGGTTGCGGCGCTCATCTCGCTTTATTGGCCAAGGGAGCCGGCGTACAGCTTCCGGGTCATGTGGCCAACATGAATAAGCCGCTTCTGGCGAACCAGAGCAGCGCACGGAAACGCCGTTTACCTTCCCGCCGGAGCGGTACCTATTTATCTACTTGCACTTTGACGTTTTTTTGAACTGCTAGGTTGGCAGGAGCAGGGACTGAGCAATGGGAGCTCACCCCTTCGCGGGGATTTGAACCGCCGACCTTCTGATCGGCAAGTCCTAGGCTCTGTGGTTTAGACCACAGCACCACCCGTGTCCCTAGGCAAATAGGAAACTGCCATAAATCATTGGTCCATCTTGCTCAGTTTTGCCGAAACCGACTGACAGCTGCTCTCCAGGATTTCAGACAGGGATCTTTTCCAGCCCTACCTGGAGATGCCAGGGACTGAACCTGGGACCTTCAGCATGCAACGTAGATGCGCTACCACTGAGATATGTCCCTTCCCCAAAGCTCAGTGGTAGAGCTGTTGAGGTAGGGACCTGCGATTCTGTGCTTAGCTGGTGATCCAACAGTCTGAAGCATCTCTTCAGGTAATAAGGGCTTCCCAGGCACTAGAGTTGCTCCACCAGTCTTTGGTTCTCAAAGTACAGGCACACAGGCTAGTGGTTCCCCATCAAGGATAAAGAGTTTATGTGGTGGACCGTTGAGTTGTTTCTCATCCACATTAGTAGCAGTGGGATTATATGAAGTTAACAACATGTCCTCCTCCCTATCCCCCCCCCATTTCCTTCCTTCTTGAATTCTTATGCATTTATGTCATTTCATGAAACATCAGTGAAGCTTGAATTTGTTTCATTTTTTGGCATGACAAAGTTTACATAATGACAAATTCAATAAAATTTGTAGGTAACAGGGTTGTGGTGTGTGTGATGATGACGACATACTATTTTATCCTTGTTATTTTTGGGTTTGTGCACCACTTAATGCAAAAGCAGGCTCCTAAGTGCTTTACAAGTACAAAAACAAATTCCATCCATAATTAAAATGCACACTTATCTTTCCATTCAAACATAATCACCCGTCATTAAACTAGGCAATGAAACAACCCCTTTGCTATTTATAACATCCCTTACAAAACAATAAGAAATACCTCTTGTGAAATTTAGAATGTTTCTCTAGTGGATGGCCTAGGAAATATGATTGCAGCAAAAATCAAGGGGGGGGGAAAAGAAATTTGCACAAATGCTTTGGAAACGCAATGAACAATACACTCTGTGCTGAAAGGGCAGTGTGTGCAGAAGACCTTCAGCTTTTGCCAGCCTCAACATTCCATCAGCAACAGGTGCTCATTCATTTTAATGAGTCCTGCTCTCCTGATATTCCCCCCAGAAGAGGAAACTTAGAACTCATGTATAATTGTCCCTGCTGTGCAGGAGATGGGTTTGCAGTGTTATGCTGGAGGGGAGAGCTCAGAAATTCAGCAGCGACATGCATAAACATTGGCCTTCATTTCCTCCATCCCTGCCAGTGTACGGAATGCAAGTGTTGGCTTGCCTATGATCGCTGTCCAGTCAATAAGTTGAGCCCATCTGGACAGTGCTGTCACTAGACATATCACAGGAAAACTGCTGCTGTGTCCTCAGGGCAGGAGAGCCTGCCACCTTCCATCTTTTCATGTTGTTCTTCATGTTGAAGCTGTTCCGACCCATTTCTCCTTCTCCTACCTATGTTCGCTGGAATTATGAGGTGCTCTTGTGTGTGATAGGGACGCGGGTGGCGCTGTGGCGGGTGGCGGGTTAAACCACAGAGCCTAGGACTTGCCGATCAGAAGGTAGGCGGTTCGAATCCCAGCGACGGGGTGAGCTCCCGTTGCTCGGTCCCGGCTCCTGCCAACCTAGCAGTTCAAAAGCACGAAGTGCAAGTAGATAAATAGGTACCGCTCCAGCGGGAAGGTAAACGGTGTTTCCGTGCGCTGCTCTGGTTCGCCAGAAGCGGCTTAGTCATGCTGGCCACATGACCCAGAAGCTGTACACCAGCTCCCTCGGCCAATAAAACGAGATGAGCGCCTCAACCCGAGAGTTGGTCACGACTGGACCTCATGGTCAGGGGTCCCTTTACCTTTACCTTTACTTGTGTGTGATTATTATTTTTTAAATGATATCCTCATGCCTATGTAGCTTTCTTTTGGGGGTTCTGATCATGCCCTCCTGCAGGATAGCGGAGGTTGATCTAACAAGTTGGGCAGTGCCCTACCAACCTCGACGAGTCAATCTCATCTGTCTGCTGTTTAGGGAAGTTTTCAATATTTAATGCTGGACTGTTTTTAACATTTGATTGGGAGCCACCCAGAGTCGCTGGGGAAACTCAGCCAGATGGGCAGGGTATAAATAATAAATTATTATTATTATTATTATTGTGTACATCAAGACCAGGGGGTGGCACTGGCTGTTGGTTTTCTCCCCCTTAGTCACACGGTTGCCTTCATAGAACTCAGCAGATCCCAGAAGCAAGTTTTGGCACTACAGTGGTACCTCGGGTTACAGACGCTTCAGGTTACAGACGCTTCAGGTTACAGCCTCCGCTAACCCAGAAACAGTACCTCTGGTTAAGAACTTTACCTCAGGATGAGAACAGAAATTGCATGGCAGCGGCGCAGCGGCAGCAGGAGGCCCCATTAGCTAAAGTGGTACCTCAGGTTAAGAACAGTTTCAGGTTAAGAACAGACCTCCAGAACGAATTAAGTTCTTAACCTGAGGTACCACTGTATAAGCTTGTTACATTAAAATCCAGTAAAACAATCGAAAACAAACTGAAGAATGTGTATCAAATGACAGAGGCGGTACCACAAAAAAACACAGAAATCTTAACTTTCAAAGGTCACAGGTGTGCTATCTATGTGGGGTTATGGGGGCTAAGGCCCCCCAAAAAAAATTCAGTGAGGGGGCCAGGCCCCCTCAATATTCTGCAGCTGAATGGGCCCCATCGGGCCATCTCGCAGCAGCAGCGGGCTCCATTGGGCTCTCTTGCAACTGTGACAGGCCCTGTCGGGTCCTCCTGTGGCAGCAGCGAGCTCTGTCGGGCCCTCCCATGGCTGTGACTAGGCCCCAGCAGGTCTTTTGGAGGAAGCCAGGCCCCGTCAGGCTTCCTCCAAGCTTGTGACATCACACATGACAGGTGTGTCATGCTTGTTACATCACACACATGCACCGAGCCCCCCAATGTTGGGCAGAACCTAGTGCACCTTGAAGGTCATGATAAAGAGGTGTGTCTTCAGCATATGATGGAAACCTGTATAATGAGCAGTGGAGGCTGGTTTATTAGGATGGAAGGGGCACTACCACAGTCTGCACTCGACTAGAACCCACCTGTCTGAATTCCTACATACAACCAGTCCAAGAGGTGACACTTGGACTATCAGTTTCCTTCCCCTTAGGCTCAGTATTGCTTTTGGAGAACTCAGCGGGGAGGAAGATGGGCCGAATCAATGGACCACAGATTGGGGCACAGGGTACATCAAGGTGTCCATGTATGGGCCTAATACAAACCATTACTAGTGCTAGTATATTTACAATATTTGTCTTTGCCTTCAGTCTCTAGAGAGATCACACCTCTCTAAATTCTCAGAGCTCTCCCTACTTGACCTCTGCAGTCCTTCTCCAATATAGTCTCCCAGGAACTTCACCCATTTTAGATTTTAAATACAGTATAACTCTTTGAACTTTTTCAGAAAACTCATGGACATGCTTGTGAATCAGCACTGTTTGCAATAAATCTTAACACAATGTCACATATTTTTTCACAGATAGCTCAGTAAATTGGTGACTGTCAAACACATTTCCTTTTATTTATTTATTTAAGAAATACATAATTAGGGTGCATTTGATCTCAATATGGGATTGTAAAAGTGCTTTTCATAAGCGTGGGAGGCTTCAACTACCTTTCCCCCCAGCCTTTACGAAAAGATTACATTTTTTTTTCATTTAGATACAAAACATTTTATGATGCAACTTGCCCTGAAATCATCAGATCATGATTTTTTTTAAAAAAATAAAAAATAAAATCTGAAGTTGCAAAATATTTTATGGCTCCGAGTAGAAATAAATTCCAAATATTGAAATGCGAGTCATTTCACTTTATCGATCACATGATATATAATGTATTCTCTCAGCTTTTTAATGGGTAGAGATATAATGAAAACAGATTAAGCCTACCCATTGCTTGTAATGCATTTGTAGATGTGCTCTCAGACAAGATGAGCTGTGAGTCTCGATTTTATAGCTGTAGTAAACAAATAGAGCAAAACTTTCCATTCTACTCCAGGCAGATGGTTTGAAAGAAGGACTGGGGTCCCTACCAGATGTTAACATTAGAACTCTGCAGAATTTGCTTTGATGTAGGGATGCTTCATATGGCAGACTATAGCCATCGTGATACACCAACACTGAAAGACTTTGCCCAGATGGCCAATTAGCTATCAGGCTAAAATCTAGGTCTAGGTTCCGCAGTACAATATACATTTACACCAGCAACATACCACTTTCAACAGTCATGGCTTCCCCCATAGAATTCTGGGAACTGTAGTTTATTAAGGGTGCTGAGAGTTGTTGTCACAGAACTACAGTTCCCAGAGTTTCCTGGAAAGCAGGATTGACTCATAACCTAAACTGCCTTTCTTGGGGATGCTTAAAGGCCCCCGTGCCTGGATGAAAGACAGAAATGAGGGACCCCAGGCTAAGACACATTGACATGTCTTGGCCTGAGAGGATTCTGCCACTCTATGTTTTATGCAGTGGCGAACCTACGTTTTGGGAGCCCTGAAGCTTGAACTGTCCTGGGGGCCCCTTCGCAACCAGCAGTGAAGTCTGAGTAACCGCTATCATCTTCTTCAGCGGGGTTGTTTCAACGTCTGTGATACAGACTTTCAAACTTTGGGATTGTTGAAATAGACACAACAAAAAATTAATCAATTTGAGTAAGGTAAAGGTAAAGGGACCCCTGACCATTAGGTCCAGTCTTGACCGACTCTGGGGTTGCGGCGCTCATCTCGCTTTATTGGCCGAGGGAGCCGGCGTACAGCTTCCGGGTCATGTGGCCAGCATGACTAAGCTGCTTCTGGTGAACCAGAGCAGCGCACGGAAACGCCGTTTACCTTCCCGCTGGAGTGGTACCTATTTATCTACTTGCACCTTGATGTGCTTTCAAACTGCTAGGTTGGCAGGAGCAGGGACCGAGCAATGGGAGCTTACTCTGTTGCGGGGATTCGAACCACCAACCTTCTGATTGGCAAGTCCTAGACTCTGTGGTTTAACCCACAGCGCGACCCAACTTTGTTAAGCAATGTAGACTAAAGTCACTTCTGGGCCCCCCTCTGGGATTAGGGACCCTGAAATGTAAGCTTCATTAGTTTCATAGTATATCCACCCCTGGCTTTATATATAATGCATTGGTTTTAGCATTTTCAAATTGTAAACCCTCTTGGGTGACAAAAAGGCACCATAT